TCCCTACCTCCCTTCTCTCTCTGCTTCCGGCTGCCACAGGTTGAGTACCTCTTCTTCTGCCATGCACCTCTACCATCCCATTTCTACCTTGAAGAAAGCTGACCATGGACTAAAACCTTGAACCAAAATAAACTTCTCCCTCTTAAGGTTGTGGGTGTTGAATTTTTGTTTTGTTTTGGTTTTTGTTCCAGCAATTAGGAAGTGACTAAGGCAGAATTTTGTAGCAGACAACTGGGGTCATTGCTGTAGTGCTACCTGATCATGAGATTCAGAAGGCTTTGGAAATGGTTTTGGAGAATTTGGAAAGATTTGGAGATGCAGGCTAGAGAAGCTTCAGCATCTTGTAAATCAAGCTTCATCAGAGATTCTGTTGGAACTCAGAAGGCCAGAATACTGATAGAAATGCAAATAGTAAAGGCCAGGCTCAGGACGTTTCAGCTAGGAACAAGTTCTCCACTGCCAGTTGGTCTAGAGCTCATGTGTGTTATGTTGTGGCAAAAATTTTGTCTATATTTTGTTCATATCCTGAAACTTTGTGGGAGACTGAGATTGAGGATGGTAGACTAATTAATCTGGCAAAGGAGATTTCAAATAGCCCAATGTTTGGGCTGTAGCATGGATACTGCAGTCTGCCTTTAGGCAGATCTACAATAAGAATTAGGAGCAAATACTGTATTAGAGACAAAAGATGTGAAAAGTTTGCAGTTTCAACAGAGGGAAAGCACCTGCAAAGATGGGGCTATGGTGACTGTGGTTGCTGAAAATATTAGCATTAAAAAGATGCCAAATACTTTGCATCAGCACAATGAGAAAGATAACTTGAGACATCTCAGGAATTAGCAAGACATCAGCCTTCACAGACTCAAGGGTGCAAAACTGTAAGCTTTAAGAATTTCTGGGCCCTCTGCTCAGAAAGGGCCAAATAGGGAATTGGCTCCCCAGTATTTGTTTCACTATGGTCAGCCATGGAGGCACTCAGAGATCTCTGTAGTCATGCTGCATGGCAGCCCAGGAACTGCTTCAGCCGGCATCAACATTGGAGTCATCTATATGATGTTGGTTCTATAAGCATGAAAATGCAAGAGTTGTGCGGTCATGGAGTCTTTCATCCTGATTCCAGAAGAAGGCCTGGGAGGCCAGGGAGAGTACCCATGAGAGGGCAGTACATAAAGTTGTAATGGTGAAGCCAAAATTGCAGTGGAGACCCTGTGAATTGTGAGATGTCAGGAGCACAGAATGTCTACTGAGGAAAACTACAGGCAGTGAGTGGAGCCATCCTAGTGGAGTGGCCATGAGGGCTGCAACCAGCAAAGCCACTATGGTTACATTAGTGCCTATCTTTTTATGTCCAGTAGTTTTTGGTATATGAAGTTGGTTGTGTCAGCCTTTGGTGCATATACATTTACATTTGTTATATCTTCATATAGAATTGTTCCCTTTACTGGTATGTAATTATCATCTTTGTCTCTTTTGATCAGTTTTGGCTTGCAGCCTGCTGTATCTGAAATAAGATAGTACTGCTTGCTTTCAGGCTCTGGTGGCATGGAGTATCATTTTCCATCCTTTAATTTTTAGTCTTTGTGCTTTCTTTTGGATGATGTGTGTCTCTTGTAGGTAGCATAAGGTTGAATTATTTTTATCCAATTTCCCAGGCTGTGTCTTTTAATTGGGGAGTTAAGACCATTTACATTGAGAGTTATTATTATGTCATTGCATTATATTTCCAGTGCTTATTCCTTTATTTTTTCCCTTTTTGTTTAACTACTATTCCAGTTAAATGTATACTTTTCTTTGGGCTCTTGCGTCACCTCATCTCAGGTGTTTTGTTGTAGCAGCACAGAGTAGGTCATCATAACAAAGCCCATCAGAATCTGTGCTCCTTCAATCCTGTCAGCCTCCTGCGTGGTCCTCTTTTCTCTGCTTGAAGTTTCCATGTCCTAGCTGCTCTTGCCAGAGACTGTCATGCTCTTCATGTTTTAGTGCCATAGTGCCTTGTCTCTTACCTTACACATCCTTCTTCCCCACCCATAGTGAGCTTCTATTCATTTTTCAAGATCAGTGAGATCATATCCTCTCTCTGAAGTCTTCCTTGCCCTACCCTGAGTATAGTGTTTTCCTTGTAGTGACCCTGTAGTATTTGGAGTGATGTTATCTTTCCAGAAACTCTCACGCACGTGGTATTTGACGGGGTAGCCAGTGCACCTAAGACCAGAGACTTTGCCAGCATTTGTTAAAGTACTAATGCATTCACTGAACATAGATACAAGAACACTGTGTCCATACCAGGGGATTTGTTATATCCATATTAGGAGACAAAGTAAATGGATCCTCCATCCAAATGACATTATATTGGAATTGTAACAGTGCTTCCCTAATTTCTTTGGAAAAATTCAAATTGGTATTGTTTTATTCTCATATTTTAAAAACAATAATGTGCATATTATTTTATTCCATCTGAAAAGTAAGGATAAAAAGGGAAGTGGAGAGTATTAGGATATCAGTGGGGTTGGCAGAATGTGGTGACCACCCTTGTCTTCCACAGAGATCCTGTGCCAAGCAGGGGAAACGAAGCCCCTAAACTGAATATTAGATTTATGTTGTTGCAGTTAGAAAACGTCTTGAGAAAGCAACCGCGGTGAACACTAGAGTTGGCTCCCACTGCTATGCTCCCTTTTAGTTTGCTAATAGAATCTCAGTTTTCAAGGAGAGGAGCTGGCAGAGCGCCAGGGCATCAGTTCTAATTTATCTAAGTTAATCATGGCAATTGCTGAGTGCCAGGGTTTGCTCCAAGCTTGGAGATGTGAACCACTTTGGTCCAACAGAATATAAGTGAAATATGACAGGCAAGGAAAAGGTTTTGGACAACAATTTCCCCTTCCTGGTAAAAAAAAATAGCAAGGTGCTCAAACTTGGGGCGTTGTTATTGAAGCTCCCTTGCTTAGAGCTCTATGAGATTGTGCGATCAAGGCGGGAAACAGTCCTCACACCCCGAGATTGGTGAGTGGAAAGACCTTGGTGAGGACTTGATGAGTCCTTGATGCCCTGCTAGGGACAATGAGTGCAGCCTGAGACCATCTACACTTAGACTTCTTGCTAATAACAAGTGTTCTTGTGTTTTAGGTCACTAACAGATGAGCTTTCTGTTGCTTGTAACCAGATGCCTTCTAACTGAGTCAATGACTGAAGTCCTCTGGGAGACCAGGTGTGAGAGATAGTCTGAAAAAAAATAATTGAACATTTTTGTGATCTCAGATCTGTCTCAGTGTACTGAATCTGGAAATACAGGAAGTGTGCCTATAGACACGTAGGAGGGATATAGACTTAGAGAAAGGAATCCTGAGGGTGAGGGGGGACATATGACTCTTTGGGAACAGGCTGGGAGGTTGCAGGGAGTAAGAACCATGTGCCTCAGTAGGAATTTTGATTGTGCCATGGATTGAAAGGGGCTTGGGGTGGGAAGGATCTTTCTCATCCTCAGTGAGTTCACATTCAAAGACCCCACATCAGACCTGTAACATTAACAAGACATGTGACTGAAGAGAGCAGCCCCTTGCAGGGGCTGGGGCAGAGGGACAGATACCGCTGCGGCAGTGTGATCTCTGCCAGAGGAAATGGATGAAGATCTGAAGGTGCAGTGCAATATATCGAAATAATTATTGGAAGCTCACATTTCCAGTACGAACTAACAAGAATGCACAGTCTCCAAGGAGACTAGGAGGAATGCTGTTGTACAGGTGAGAATTTGTAGCCTGTGTGTATAGAGAGAGCTAGCGAGAGAGCACAGGTAATAATAGTCGGGCAACATCACTCTGACCTGTCTGGGTTTGGGATTTATTGATTTGGAGGCCTCACCTCTGGCACGGAGAGAGTCTCTGAGGGGCTAGTGTCGATGGTCCACGGAATCTGCTCAGCTTGGCCAGTGTGTAGCTTTCTTACCCCAGCCCTTCTGTCTCACTCAGATTGGCCTTCAGGAGCCATGGCTTTCTACACCTCCTCTTACACCCAGCTCCTCTGCTGATATGTTTATGTGTTGTCTCCAAAACACTGCCAGCCCATCTGTCAAGTGTGCCAGCTTTGGAAACCTAGGATCTCTAGCAGTGGATTGAGCACTTAGTTGGCACCTAATAAAAGCTGACAGAATGAGTGAGAACCATGGTAAATTTAATACCCACTGCAAGACTAGAATACGAGCAAGGAAGGTAGACAGTTTAAATACTTAATGCATTGGTTCCTTGGTTAGAGATGTGGATTAAATGCTTCTGAATGCGTTTCACAGCTTGACAGTTGTGTTATTGGACTGTGGTCTTGAGTTCAATAAAGGAGATGCATCCTTACTTCCCTTTGGACCACCTATCCCGGGGAAGCTACTGGATCAGTTTTTGCTGCTCAGGTTTCTGATGGGAAGAGTGACAATTCTGATTTATGTCACTCAGTCGTTTCATCAGCTAAAGCAGTAGTGGGAACCCATGGCATGTGTCCCACAGCAGGTTGTGTGGGTCACTGAAACCTCTAAAAGGTTCACCATCACTGAGTTTGGGGTTAGTGTATGTATAAAGTAAAACAAAACAACAGAAAAACCGCATCACCTTTGTTGTTTAGACCTCTGCAAGATCTGCCGATATTACCCGGAAACTCACATGCATTTTTGATCTTTAATAGAAGAGAACTCTTGATTGCCTGCCCCTAACTAAATGTAATCAGTCCAAATGTCTGTGCAACACAGGCAGTCACTTGCGCTTAAGAAGGGAGTGATGCTCCGAGAGGACAACTGGGCTCTCCAGAGACCTCTTTTCTCTTTCTTCCTCTAAAGCAGTGATACCCAGAGACTCCCCCGCCCATGGACTAGAGGTACTGGAAGGGAATGTCTGCTAAAGGGGCCCACAGGGACACCTCCCTGCATACGTGTTGGTGGAGGAAATAAAAGACATGGACTGAAATGCTCCCTGTCTCATAAAAGATGAGGTTTCTCCAACAAGCACTGAATTGATTTTTTCTTCCAGGAGATGAGATAAACATGCCCTGTGTTTTGCAACTACTTCTTGGCACAATCTACAAGACCAACCACAGCTGACATATGGCAACAGGGGAAAAAACCTGAGGACACCATTCCGTACGTGCCATCCTATCCAGGGGCTCTTCCAGGTGCAGGCGCAGAAGGTGTCTGGTGGCCCATCGAGCAATCTGCCCTGCAAGATCACTTGACAGCTGGCACACGGAGGGATACGACTCCTTTCAATGTGTTTGTAGCCTCGCCCTAGAAACTCAAAGAAGTGCCCCTTTTGTTTCACCCTCTTCCAGCCGATAGCTCGTCATGAATTCAGTATGAGGACAGGTAAAGCGGCCACAGGAAGGGACTAGGGAGGGACAATTCGGATGAGCAAATCTGTGGAGTGTCTGTTCACCACACTATCAGCTAGCGGAGCTGGCTGTCAAGTGAGCAAGATCTTATTGACCATAGTCTCAACACATTGTTTGTGGGAAGGGTGGCTTTGCTCCTACCCCTTACAAGTGTCCACAGTGCTCTGGAGCTATCACAATCATGAGCAATTCAGATGTGATGAACCGGGTGGATGGTCCAAGAGAGCTGCCTCCTTTCAGCAGGTGGATTAGGAGACAGAGTTCACGGATTCATGAGGGCACTGATCCGTGATTAAAGATGGTGGGGGAGCAGGGTGTTACTCTGAATGTTTGCAAGCGAAGTGTGGCATGTGTTTGAAAGGTCAGCCCCTCTATTCACTTACACAGACTCCTCGACTTACAACGGGATGATGTCCCAGCAAATGCATCGCAAATTGGATATGTCATAAGCCCAAACTGCACTTAATAACCTACCGACCCTTGCCTACCTTGCATATGCTCAGAACATTTACATTAGCTGCAGATGGGTAAAATCATCTAATACAAAGCTTATTTTATTAAAACGTGAAATATCTTATATAATTTATTAAATACGGTACTGGAAGTGAAAAAACAAAATGGTTCATTTGCTTCTGAACCGTCATCAAATTGAAAAATTGAGCCGTTGTATGTTGTAGACCATCTGTACCCATCATTCTGATAAGTGATGTGTCTGATCTGAAATTCACCAAGAGGACAGTGTTGATGCTTGAAACTGAAGCCCCAAGAGGGAAATCAAGCAAAGCTAAAACACAAAACCTTGGGGTTTGAACTTGACCTACTGAGTCAAGCCAACTCTGAGCCCTGTGTCTGGAGTTTTTCATCTGTGATGATGTCTTCCTTGCTGTTTTCACCACTTTCAGCTGGATATTCAAAGTTCTTCCAACCAAACTCATCCTACCTGACTCCGGGAAATCTGATTCCAGTTATGTAAAATGCCTGGATATCCTGCCTTTGCCTCCAGTGGCTTGTGGTGAACAATTATAAGTTTTGTTTTAAGATGTTTTCTCCAATCAAATATCCTAGCAACACTACATCAGAGATGAACATTATCACTGAGTGTGACTTTTTCAAACCAAGAGGCTTCTACCAGCACATTTTTCCTATCTTGAATAGGACTTGAGGGTTTAGAGTGAGACATATCCTCTTCAGCGTGGAGCAGGCAAAGCAAGGAGGAAGGGTACACCCAGACCTCTTACTTCTTAGCTCCTCTTCCTCTCTGCTTCCTTCCATCATGCTCCATTCCCTCATATCAGCTCCTTGTTCTGTGAAGAGTCTTCCTAAAACACACTTGGTTAAAAGAACGATGCCAGATGATGCCAGGAGAAATCAAAACCACAAATTACACCTGTGGGGGTGGCTGCCGGTGTGGTCTGAGTGTTTCTGTTACCAGAAATCCCTATGTGGGAATTCTGGCTCTTAATGTGAGGGTGGAGCCTGCTGGAGGTGAGTAATGACCTTACAAGGGAGGCCTAAAAGAGAAATCTCACCTCAAAATAGATGCTAGTGAGTGCATGTGAGGAGGTGGAGGGAGAAATGAAAGAGAAGCTCATTAAAGTCCCTCCCACTCCCCACTGCAGGGTTTCCAGACCGAGGCAGAAATCAGCTGGGAGAAGCAGGACATTAGATGAGCTTGGAATTTTTTTTTTTGGGGGGGGGTACCGGGGATCGAACTTGGGACCTTCCGCTTGCAAGGCAGGAAGTGGAACCACTGAGCTAAATCCCCGGCCCGAGCTTGGAATTTTGATAGGAGAATGGGCTGGACTTCTTATTATTCACAGTTGTGCCTGGGAAAACCATGGAGTCTTCGCTTTCAACCAAAGGCAAGAAATAACTACTGGTATATGATGGAGCAAATGTAATGGGAAGTGGTAAGAAAGAATGGAACAGCCTGCTGCTTATACCCTGCCCAAGGAGTCCACTCCATAACCTGGTTATGCCAACACTGAGAGTGACTGAGAAAGCACAGGAATCTGCCAAAAATGCAGTGGGAAGTAAAGAAAAAAAAGTCAGTTTAGCAACATGTTAAGAAAAATTATTGCAAATTTGACAATAAAGCAAAGAGTTGACAATCAGGAACTTCCCATGTCATGCTGGAGTATTAACTGGCCCACCCAATAATAACAGATGATTGAGGGGAATGAATCCATGTTTGACCACCCTTCTGATATTCGATAAGCATTTGCACATGAACGTGCAGATCTCCACTGGGTAAAAAAGATAAGGCATCCAAACTTTGCTGGGACAGGGAGAGGTCTTCATGCCCTTTAGGACTTTAGCCAATTCTGAATGTAGGCAGCAATCCTGTTCTAACTTTTTTCTTCACTGCTGGGATTGGACAAAGGCCCCTCACACCTGCTACTCTGACCTACACCCTCAGCCCTACATTCTGTTTTAAAAATACTTTTCTGGATGAACGATATAATCTTTCTTTGTCAAATGTCCTTGAATCCATCTCATCATCTTACTGATTTCCCCATGGATGAGTTGAATAAGATCTTTGACACTTGTTCACTCTATATTTGAGTGAAAGTCATGTTTTTAACTTTTTGAACACTTAGAATAACACATTTAGATTTATGCTTCCTTTACTGTTGCTGTGATTGAATGCTCCTCACCAAACTCATGTTGAAATTTCATTGCCATGGTAACAATGTTGGGTAAGGGGAGGACCTTGACGAGATGATTAGGTCACAGGGCCTCTGCTTCCTGAATGGATTGAATGGACTGTGCCCTTATCGTGGGAGTGGGTTAGTTAGAAGGGGGGAATTTGGTCTCCTTTTTTGCTTGCTGCGTGATGCTTTCTGAGGTATTATAATCCCACAAGAAAGCCCTCACCACATGTGGTCCATTGACCTCAGACTTTCATCCTCCAGACCCTGAGCCAAAAACCTTCTCTTGTTTATAATTGATACAGCCTGTGGGATTCTGATAGGGCAGCAGAAAACAGACTAAGACAATCACTCTACAACCCTTACCTGTGTTCTTGTTTCCTTTCACTGTTCCCAATAAAATGCTCTTACTTAGGGGACACTAGGGTCATATTTCTCCCTTCAGTCTCTCCATTCTGTTGTCATGGATCACAAGTCCTCTCTCTGACCTTCTTCTGTCTGTAGAAGGAAGAACTGCCTAATTCCTTGAGCCCTTCTCAGACTCACTCCTGCCCTTTCTGGTAATGTCAATGCACACCTTTGATTTGTGTGGCCAGAATGTAATCTCCTGGAAGGAAACCTGCAGGAGGTCGCTAATGCATGGATTTGAGGGTCAGATAAGTGCATGTTAATATTGACTTTGCCACTCACTGAGTTCACATGGTGAAAATCTTGGGAAAATACTTAATTTCTCTGGAGTTCAATTTCCTTTTCTATAAGACAGAGTCCAAACCCTCTCTCCTGAGAGTGCAATGAAGATGCTGTGAGTTCTTTCCCTCCTTCTCGCATCTTCTCCCTTCTTCCTTTCCTCTTCTTTGACTTCCTCCTTTCCTCCCTCTCTGTTTTGGTTTAGATTTAAAATAATCCCTCCCCCCTTCCCACTTGTGTGGAAAGTGATCAGAGGTGCTAAAGTCATCAGTGGGTCCATCTGCTCATGAATTCAAGCTGAATGTCCCGTTGGAAGGTGGGGCCTAGTTGGAGGAAGTTCACAAAAGGCATGACCTGGAAGCGTACATTCTTGTCCCTGCCTCTTCCCTTCTCTCTCTTCTTCCTGGCCGTGATGAAGTAAGCAGCCTTTCCTCCACCATGCCTCTATGCCATCCTACTTCTGCCTTGGAGCCACCTGACCATGGACTGAAACTGTGAGCCAAATGAACTTCTGTTCCTTTAAGTTGTAGGTGTCAGGCATTGTGTCCCAGCGATGGAAAAATGACTAAGATGCTGTCTCTTCCCTTCCTCGCTCCTTTCTGGTAGTCAGTTATGTGCCATGCATCATGCTAGACCCAGGAACACCGTAAGCACTAAGACATGGCTGTCACCCCCAATGTGAGCCACAAGACAGGTGCGAAATCATGTTTACATGTTGTGACAGGTGAGGGGTGGGCCCAGCACGATGGCATCCAGGGTCCCCATTGCTTCAAATTCCTCCAGTCACAATTTATGTGGTGGCTAATGAGGGCTTTGTTTGCTTGGGGAAAGAGGAGAGAAGGCGCTTTGCAGATGAGGGCCCAGGAAAGAGCAGGTTAGTGTGTGGGGAGCGGTCAGGCAGGGAAACGGGTGCCCAGGTGGAGACTGTTGTCTCATCCAGATTCTGGTGCCCAGCTGGATCTCCACAAAGGAAAGCGGTGTAGACAGATGGAGAAGGTGCCATTTGATGATGGACTGGAAGCCTTGGGTGTGGACAGTGTCACACCCAGGCCTGGCTAACAATCTGGGCCACAGAGTGGCAGTGTGGGACTCCCCTATCCCTCAGCCCTGAGTGCCCATCCTTCCCCCATTTGCCTTGGACCTGAAGGAGAGTCATCTCTGAGGGTGTGTCCTGTGGCGAGAAATCAGTTCTTGGCAGAACAGTATCCTCCTGAGGACTCAGGGGCCATGCGTGGGCCATGTGTCAGATGCAGTGGGCCCAGCCTTGGAGCTGAGGTGTGTTTGGGTCCTGGTTCTGTTCCTGAGCCCATCTGGGGAAGGCAGGCCAGGCAGGAGCCATGAGACTCGACAACTGGGTAGGAGAAGAGGGAGCCAGACAAGTGTGGGTATGAATGGACTTCATTTCTGCCACTGGCTTCTGAGGCCCGAGAATATTTATTACATTAGACTGACTTGTGTTATGCTGAGTAGCTATTTTCATGGAAATTGTAGATCTTCAGGAAGAGCAGGTTGGAATATTTGTCCAATTTGTGTACCCCTCTGAAAGTAATTTGTTGTGAGCACAGTGTAGGTGCCTTGTAGACTCCACGGAGCTTTCGAGAGTCAGGTGCTGGTCTCTGCAAGGGTCTGAACATGGTGCTAACCTAAGATGAGCAGAGATCATCTGTCTTGGGTCCTGGAGAACACCACGACTTGCCTTTGGAAGAGATTCATCTTCCTAATGCTGTTTTTCCCAGCATGCTCTGAGAGTTAGCATTTCCTGTGCATGCACGCGTGCACACACACACACACACACACACACACACACACACACACCCTGCCTCAGCAGCATAGATGAGCTGCAGAACAATGGGACAAAAAGAAGGAACACTGGGGCCCAACATTTTCTAGAATAATCAATAATCGAAGTTGACAATCTTTTGACTACACAGTCCATGGTAGAGATAAGTGTCCCACTGGCGGGTAAGACAGCCACAACCACATGAGCAAGAGCACAGTGCTGAGTGCAGCTCAGGGGCCATCAAGCCTCGGCAGCAGAAGTACAGGAAACCTCAAAGAACAAAGGAAAGCCATCAGGAGAAGAGTGACCTCACTCTATCCGCTCCCATATCCTCAAGGCAATAGCCCCTCCCCTTCTCGTTAAATTGTGTTCTCTGCTTGCTCTACACTGACTCCCCTTTGGACTCAGCCCACTCACCAGCATTAAATAAACAAAGCATTAAATAAACAAGCCTCTTTGTTCACACAGTGCGTGCCCGGGTACTCTCCTCTCTGTGTCTCTCTAATATGGTAAGTGGTGGGCCTGGGATTTAGCTCAGTGGTTTCAGCGCCTGCTGTGCAAGCGCAAGGACCCAAGTTCGATCCCTGGTACCAAAAAAAAAAAAAAAAAGTACGGTAAGTAGCTTGTGTTAAGGTTATTGTCCCTTTTTGTTTAACTGATTTTCCTTGCTTTCTATGAGATGTTCTTAAGGTTTTCCAATAGCTCCATGAAATTCAATGAATACTTATCAGTAGTTTTTATACAAATGCTCCACTGTGTCAGGTAATGTGTTCTTTCACTTGCGTGTTTCCTTATTGCTTGAGTCTCTCCCTCTTTTCACACCTTGACTTCCAAAAGTTCTTTTGAAGCTTGCACACCTGGAGGCCATCAACCCTGCAGACAGGCCACAGTCTCTGCATTCCATATTCCCCGGAAGCCTGGTAAGGCCCTGGGGGGGTGAGGAGCCCTGGGTTCCTGGGAGAGTGTAGCAGTAATTGCTTTCCTTCTGACCTCTCCTGTACTGTGGTCAATTTTGTGGGATCTTCCCTTTGGGCCTTCGGAGGAGAACTGGTTTCTTTTCGACCTTGGTTGCTCTAGATGCTCAATCCAGGGTTGGCTCCCTGAGCCAGTGAGCTGTGCAGTCACACAGGGCTCTGCTCCTAGAAGAGTGGTAGGCTCTGTTTAATGCTCTATTGCTGCTGTCTTTAAATTTTTATAGTTTTGTCTTTCCAAGTCCATTTTGCAAGCCTAATAGGACAATAAATCATGCACCTGAAAAAAGTACATGCCCAGTTCCTTGCCACTTCATTTGGATATAGAGCTCAGGATGCCCTATGAGCACAGAATTCCGGTGGGCCATGATGCATGGATGTGCACGGAGACTGGAAGTGTGTGTAAGATGGAAGTGTGCTATACTCATGGCTAAGAAGTGGAGAGCTGACAGCCTCAAAACACCAGCACTCCCTTTGAACAAGGACTCACTCTGAGTGCAGAACTGACAGCAAGAACAACCTAGGAGCCCTGTAGTGCTCTTTCTTGTGTGATGCATCCCCAGTATCCACCAACCATGTATGCAGAGAAGACTGAGTAGAAGGAAAGAGAAAAGCAGTGTTTTCTTGCCCATCAGTGCATTGAAGGCAGAGGATATTGGTAGAATGTGTGTCCCATGAAGTTAAGTAAAGACAGTTAAATGCAGCTTTTCCAATTCCCATGAGAAAGAAAATCCTATTAGCTATAAAACAGGAAATGTGCCAGTTCCATGATTCCCGATTGGAAGCAATGCTCTCATATGTGCATTCAAAACTGGTATTGCACCATCTAAAGATGAACAGGGGAAAATGCTAGCAATATAAAATTATAATTTTTCTCCTTATAACAATGTTAAAAAGCAAACAAACAAACAAAACCCCACCATGTCAGGTCAAGAGAGAAATACAGAACAGAGGAATCAACTTTATGTTTTAGCTTTTAATGTTTTTACTGCTTTTGAACAAAGGGTCCTGCACTTTTAATTTGCACTA